ATTGGCAAAGGCAGTATTGGTTTAGTGTACAAGGGAATATTTCGAGATGGAATGATAGCAGCAATTAAGGTTTTTAATCTAGATTTGGAAGGTGCAAACCAATGTTTTGATACTGAGTGCCAAATATTGTGCAACATTCGTCACAGAAATCTTGTCAAGATAATTAGTAGTTGCACTAACCTTGATCTTAAAGCCTTGGTGCTGGAATATATGCCTAATGGAAACCTTACAAAATGGCTATCCTCGAGCAACCATTTCCTAAATATGGCTCAAAGATTGGAAATAATGATAGATGTGGCATCTGCGCTCGAGTATCTACATTCTGGGTGTCCATTTCCGATTGTCCATTGTGATCTGAAGCCCAACAACATACTTTTAGATGAAGATATGGTTGCCCATGTTGGAGACTTTGGCATTTCCAAGCTTTTAACTACAGACCAGAGAATTTCAATTACCAAGACGTTGGGCACCATTGGATATATGGCTCCAGGTAAATAATCAACTACTTATATACATTGTTAAATGCTATACACTATGTTGAATTAATATTTATGTTTAGANGTTACATGTCCTTTAAAGCTACCGTTAAGGAAGAATCACCTCTATGTAAAGAAAGATAAATGCTCCTTTGGACAGACGGAAATCCTATTCCTAGGACATCAGAGCCATCGAGGAGTGGCAAGCACCTACCAAGGTGAGAAAATACCACCCACAGAGTACTACTAAATTGTTTGAATAAGACGTACTAGTCATTGACCGAAGGAGAAAGACTAAGACAACTCTTTTCGGGTTATGCCATAAAGAAAGACGTGTCTCCTTGATCGCTTAGAGCCCCCGAGTCACTATTTATAGATTGCTAGATAATTAAGTTAATTAATCCAATTAAATTAATCCTAAGTGTAAAAAAAATCAGATCAACAGCAATAAATAACACCAAAATTGACCACGGAGGAAAATCCCAACCCAGGATATAAAAACTTCTGAACAAACTTGCCAGTAAAATCTACTAGAAAAATTAACTTACAATTAGCCGAGACATTACTAAACCTTAGCTGACTTTGGCCACCTAACTTGTTTGGTTGTGCATGGTCACACTCTTAGAACTTTGAGCTAGTTTTGTCTTCGTGTGGATCAACAAGAGTGAACTTTTTTCTCGTGCGCCCAAATATCAAGCACCTCTTCCCAAAACTCCAGAAATCTAAAGGCTAATTGGCAAATGTAGGGTTTTGTTTTGGTGTTTGATCTAAGATCTTTTTGTGTTTTGATGTGTAGGATGTGGCAAAAGATATTGGAATATGTATTTGGCTTTCAAAGAACCAACTCTTAAATTACAACAATGCTATACTAATGATGGAATACTGTTTGGGATCGATTATATGAAACTTGGGTTGAATCAAGAAATCAAGAATGAGTGTTTGATCTTCGATAATGAGATCTCTACGATAATATAATGATTTAATACACCTTGGGACGTTCACGAGGCTGTATATTTATCATGGAGGTGTTTGGGATGAAAAGGGAATAAAAAATAAGTGTTTTATGCAAACTAGGAAAACTGAATTACGATCCGCCACTCAAGCACCTAGGTTAGCTCTAGGGAGCAGTAGTTAGTGTTTTCGTCATAACTTTTTCTCCAAATGTTTATTTGAGGTGATTAAAAGTGCATTGGAAAGTTAACTCAAAGGGATAAAATTCTTCTAGAAATACCTTTTCAAATTCAAATTTTTCTATTGAAAAATGTGTCGCAACTTGTAGCAGAGAATTTGATGCAAAACTTGTACAATACTTTGACACTCATTTGACTTCTAATTGCATCCCATTGATCATATGATATGTTCTTGAACATCTTTGACTACTCCAAGGACTCTATCAATCCCAAACTAGTTTTACTATGAAATGGACTCAATAAATCCTATTTTGACTTTGATTACTCCTAATACAATTAGGACATGATTTTGACTAAGGAAATTGCCATTTACAAATTTGGAAATTACAAAATTGGATCTAACACGTTGTTATAAAATAGAGAGAAAAGAGAAGAAATTAAAGAAGTTCCTAGACTTTGGTGTATTTTATTGAGAACCAAAGTCTCATATTTATATAAAAGAATTAGAACCGTTAAAGATACAATAATCACAATAACTTGAGCTATAAGGGTATAATCGTTATTCAAAAAAAAAACATATAATTTACTACACTCCCTTTGAATGATACATTACAAAATATATGTCTCGTTAAAATCTTGTGTGATAAACACCTAGTGGGACAAAAAAAATCAAACAAAGGAAAAAGAGTGAAGTTATTTTTGGAGTACTAAAAATGAGTGCTGTCTCATTAAAATTTTGGGAGGAAAACCTAGTGGGGATAAAACCTAAAAGAAGGAAAAAGAATGCATCTACTCCCATGATCTTGATCGGCGTAAATCATTGGTCAATGCATTCTTATCTCGTATACCAATTTCTTAAATGTAGATGCCAATAATACTTTTGTGAATAATCAACCACATTATCACTTGAGCAAATTTGTTGAACATCGATATCACTAGGCTTATGAGGCTCAGCATATAGAAGAATTTTGAAGAAATGTACTTTATCTTGTCTCCTTTGATATAACATCCTTTGAGTTGTCCAATGCAAGTTACATTATCATTATACAATATTGTTGGGCTATCTTCGGTTGAAGATAATTACATGATACATTGATATGGTGGGTCATGTTCTTCAACCATTCACATTTTCGACTTGCCTAATTGGTCTAATGCAAACGACTAACAATTGGTTTAATAACATGTATACCCATGAATTACGTGAAAAATAATCATTGGTCCATTGGTGAAAAAAGAAAACCACGACTTGAAAGAAATAGAAAGAAAGAGAGAAGAAAGTAAAGAAGTCAATAGACTTTTGTATATTTTATTGAGAACCAAATTTCCATATTTATAGGAAAGAATTAGGGTTGCAAGAGACACAATAGTCATAAATTCATAATAAATTTCCATATTTATAGGAAAGAATTAGGGTTGCAAGAGACACAATAGTCATAAATTCATAATAACATGCAGGAGTGTAATGGTCATTTACAAAGAAACATATAATTTACAACATACACGTAATTATTAACCATTATTTTTCATGCTAACAATTTTAGTGTATTATTATTGGTTCTCATTAATATTTATAGGAAATAATTAGTGTTACAAGAGATACAATAGTCATAAATTCATAAAAACATGTAGGAGTATAGTGGTCATTTACAAAGAAACATATAATTTACAACATACACGTAATTATTAACCATTATTTTTCATGCTAACAATTTTAGTGTATTATTATTGGTTCTCATTTATTTATTTGTCATTTATCATTTCACTTGTTAGTTTGATCACATATGCCAATTTTGTAGAGTATGGATCTACTGGATTAATATCGACTATGGCGGATGTTTATAGCTATGGGATTATGCTCATGGAGACAATTACCAAAAAGAAGCCAACAGATGATATGTTTGCTGGAGAGTTCACAATGAGGAAATGGGTGTTCGAATCATTCCCGGATGCTATAATGCAGATAGTGGATGTTGATCTAGTGAATGCAGTTGAAGAGAATATTGGAGCCAAAGAGAGCTGCTTTAGATCAATCATGGGACTAGCACTAGAATGCACGGTTCACTGGCCCAACGAGAGGCTCAATATGAAAGATGTTCTAACAAGGCTCGTGAAGATCAAAACTGAATTTTGTAAAGCATAATACTGAGGTGGATTAAGATGAAGAGGTTTGTTTCTTAATTAAATTTGCTTTTTCCATCTCGTAAGAACACAAAAAGGTTAATATTTGAGCTAAAATTTTATTAATGAAATCAAAAACTATTTTTCATTTAAATTGTTGTAGAATCCAGTCGTCATATTGACTACTTTTTAAAACATACTTTAATCATTTCTCATAAGCTTATTATATCTTTCTATTATAGAAAAACCTGGAAATCATTTTTGGCTTTGGCCACTGTTTTATGGCATGCTGTTACTGTCTTGTGGCCGTGTAAACTGTACTGTAATGTAATTTGTTTGGTGACTAAATAATTTTTTGAGGTTTTATGTATTTGGTTAATCTGCTGTGAGTTGCTGCTGTGTAGGAAAATATTGATATCATTACACGGGTGATACTGATGAGTTGATAATCAGATGTAGCATTTTCTTTTAATTCTAAATTATTATTTTAGTAAAGTTGCAATGTCCTGTTTGATTTTGTTTCTGATGACACTCTTTGTTTCTCAGTTAACATTTTCCAATGAAAACGTTCTCTTTTCTTTGAAGGAAGGAGCAGACCATCTTGAAGAACTGAGGAGCGTCTCTGACTGCTATGTTGCATTCAGGCTATTCTCAATTGTCAGAGTGCTTCAAGACTTACCTCTATACAGATAACACTCATCAGTTATTTTGCAATCTGTCTTTTAGTCATTCATAAATAAATTTTTCACACACAGATGAAGAAGTGAATTGTGTTTCTGTTTCTGTTCGTCTCTCCTCACTTAAGGAGCAATTCCCTCCAAGAGATATGTTTATAATGGTATTCTGGATGAAAACACTGTGTGATTCCTGCTGGGAAAAAAAAAGCAAGTTTTCATCTCTTTTCCTCTTTTTTTATTCCTATTGCTTGTGAATCAAAGATCTAAGAGACCTCAAAACAGAAAGCCAAATGCCAAAAATTGCAAACAATCAAATTAATGACCAAATAATTCAGAAAATCATAGTTTATATTGAATTATCAATGATAAATGAATGGCGTTTCCTTTCATTTCTTGACTTGTGAGGGCCTCAAGCTCTCAACATAGGGTATTTTCTGTTGGAAAATTTTTCGAATCTCTAATAATTTTGTTCCACAGGGATTTTGGAATTTTCATGTTGATTTTGTTGTGTCTTGAAATGAGAAACACTAGAAATTTTTTCTGATGCGAACAAATAATTTACTTGTTGAAAGTAATAATCGATCACCAAGGTATTCCTGGATCAGTATATTACCGAATCAACACTACAATGTATCAAACCCAAAACCATAAACCACTCCCAAACCGGTCGCTTTCTTGGCTTGCCCACTAAGGACACATGTAAGTAAGGCACCAAGCACGGATGCAGCAATGTTTCTCAAAGGAAGAAGGCAACAATTAACATTCACTCACACGCAGCCAACACAGAAAACGGGGGCAGCATATATATGATAGCCCAAGACTAGCTTAACCAATAGGGGGGTGAATTGGTTATTAAAACTTTTTTCGAAAAAGTAACTTATAATCAACAAGTAATAACTAGATAGATTGATTCAAGTATCAAACACAAATATGGAAGCAATAAGTGAAGAGGGATACAGAGTGCAAACAATGTATTTGTGGAGGTTCGATCCAATGCAATGATCTACATCCCCCGTTACCAATCTCTCTGATACGTGCAATGCCAATTTCAATATGTTGATTGACTTGTGGTGCAATCTAACCCTTTACAATGCTTCCGATGACTTACAAGCAATGAGCATCAATCCTTTTACAAACGTTGAGCTTTCTGGGACCTCAAATTGACCCACAAGTTTAAAGAGAATTGAATTTACAAATGGAAGACTTCTCTCTTAATAAATGATAGGATAACAACTAAGTACCAAGGGAGAAGTAAGCTAACACTTTAATGAATAGCAATGAGTGAAGCTCAAGTGTTAGGTATAGAAAAACTTTGTTGTGTCAAATGATTTTCAAGAATTGATTTGATCAAAAGTTTTTCCAAACAAAATGATTAGATAATAATAAATAGGATGAGAAATCAATGCTATTATGCTCAAAAGAATCTCATTTTAATACACTTAAGTTGTTGTGATAAATGGTAAGTGAGTTGATATTTATAGAAGTCAAAAACGTGAACTTCTCTGTCCAATCGGACGACTCCTACCAGACGTCCACCACTGTACCGGATGACTGAACTAGCCATTGGGCGTCAGAAATCAGAACGTTCAAAAATTTGACAGTTGAGCTGCCGAATGTCCGCCAAGATCGAAAATCTCATATTTTCTCTTTTCTTGATTATTTTGCAAATGTAGATCTTTTAGGAACATTTTCAATTAACTTTTTCAAATTAAGTGTCATTGAAAAAAAATTCAAAAATCAAGTGAAGGTTTTTGTCACACCAAAAATAATTTTTATGCGAGTGTTTTTGTGCAAAATTTATTTTGTGCATAAAAGATTAACTTACGAGCTTGTAGTGATTCATTGCTATGAATTAAAGTATTTTACCTTTACATATGAATTTGAATCATCTAAGTCTAATATCTTCGATAGATTTGGCGAGAGTGCACGTTTTGTTGCTCGATTTTTAATTCGATTGTTTCTTATGCAAGTGCTTGATTACCAAGTTCGATTGTGAATGTTCGATTTCCACCAGGTTCATAATATGTATCTTTGATGACTTAAATAAAAATATTAGAGATAAGACTAATTTGTTTGTTATAATCAAAACTCAAAATCAATCATAGGTCAACAATTTTCCCCTTTTTGATTATGACAAACAAGATGATTTGAAATGTAAGATATGAACAATTTAGAGGAATATACATTATCGTGTAATTCTTGTTCCCCCTATCTTTTACAATTAGATAACCACACATTTAAAGTATGAGTTTTCCCCATTTTTCATATATTGATATCATTGTAAAAATCAATTGTAAATCATGCATAATCATCTCTATTTTCATGCATTTTCCCCTTTTGGCATAAACAAAAAGCATAAGGCAAAGCATGGATAATAATCATAGCATCAAGCAAGAAAGAACACAACCACAGACAATGATGTTTCGAAATTAAGCTAGGGATTTAGATAAGTCAAAAGAACATAAAGATAATCTGTAATTGTAATAAGAGCGAGATCTACGATTTCGGAAGAGGTGGTGAAGGAAAGAGTGCATAGAAGTGAGTGTAGAATGCATTCTGCTGAGCTTACATGTCTGCCTGTTGTGCTTGAATAGTATTCTGTTGACAGAAGAGGTAAGAGAATCAATACGACCATTTAGGAGGTTGTAGTGATCCTCGGTAAATGTGAAACCACTAGATGAAGAACAAGGTGCACTAGTGATAGGAACATCGTGAGTCACTTGTGGGACTTGTGGTGAATCATCATTATCATCATCATCCCCATCACCTTCAAAAGGTAGAGTCGATGGACCCAAGGTGGGGTCAAACCCTTTTGTGTGTGCCACCCATTGACAATGTTCTTTTACTATTTTTATTTTCTTGAGGGTTTGAATTTTATGGTGTCTGTAGGGCGAAGTTTAATAAAAATCTCATCGTAAAGTGGAATGTCAAAATGTTTAAAAATTTTTATAAGAAGCATTCCGTAAGGCAAAGCTTTAAGATGTCGTGTGGAATGCACAAGTTCCATGAGACCTAGGGCAATAGTTGGAAAGTCGAGTTTTCGGCCAACAAAGAAGGAATCGAGGACAAAAAGATCAAAAAAGTTCACCTCGTCTCGTTGACCCTTTCGGGGATGAATTACATTTGTAATGATGTTTTGTAAAACTTTACATGTAAGTGTTAGATGATTTGCACTAATTTTCGTGATATTTTCAAAGTTCTTTCCGGTTACCCGACGACATGCTTCGGAGGGGTTGTACCCTTCAAGAGTTGGATGTGTTTTATGTAGAAAAATTTGAGTATCACACGGCTCAAGCTCAAGAATTTCACAAATGAGAGCTTTGTTGACGGTGATACAAGCATTTTTGATTAAGCATGAAAGTTCATCCGAACGAGGTGAAATGACTATTTTTGGTAAACTTCTTTCATAAGACAAGGATAAACATGCTCTTAAGAGTAGCAACCGACACCCAACCCATGTTTCGAAATATTCTTCAATATGAAATGCGGGTGCTTCAATGGTAAAATGGGGCAAAATCAACATTCTTACCTATTAGAATGGGTGATTTTTCAAACAGGTTTACCGGTACCTCGGGCTCCATATCAAATTTCTCGTTGGATGATGGTAGAGGAGATCATCGCACCGTACTTTTGAGTCTCTTTCCCGTTCTTCTAGACCCCAATATTGTAGAAATAAGAAAGAAAATGGATGGACTTTTATGGAGAAAAGTGAGATTTTGGTAAGAGAAAATTTGAAATAATTCGAAATTGGAAGATGAGAAGTAGTAGATTCAACGATTTTGATGAAAACTGGGGTAGTAGATTGAAGATTTGAGTGTTTTAGAGTGTGTCGAGGGAGAGAAAGAGGAGAAAAGTAAGAAGAAATGGGGGAAAATGGCTCGAGTTCGCGAAACCAGGGTTTTAAAAAGCCTAGTACCGGACGTCCAGTTGTCAGAGTAAAAATTCTTTGTCAAACCGGACATGTTAACCGAACGTCCAATTAGCTCATCCGCTTATCCCCCCTCCCCCCCTTTTTTTGATACATTAAATATGGTATACATAAAAATAAGGTAATCTTAATTAATTACTTTAAATTCATCAACAATACCTATGCCCCTTCTAATATGTAAGAAACGATCGAGAGCTAGAGGTTTTGTGAAGATGTCGGCCAATTGATTTTCCGTGTTTATGAAGTCTAGCACAATGTCCCCTTTTGAACATGGTCTCTAAGGAAGTGATGTCGAATCTCAATATGTTTCTTCCTAGAGTGCAAAATAGGATTTTTAGATAAGTTAATAGCGCTAATGTTATTACACATGATGGGGGTATGATCAAAAGATAAGTGATAATCACTAAGAAATTGTTT